ATATGGATCACAATTGTTTAGAAGAAGTGAAACAAAATTTTAGCAATATTCCAAGAGAAAAAAGAACAAAATTATGCTCTCTTTTAGGGATGGAACCGTTCAAAGAATTTGTACCATACTGATAATATTCATACAATTCGTGGTGGGACCGTGCTTACTCTCACTCTAATTCCACATTAGTATGATATTATTCATTTTGGGCCAAACCTTCACGGATTTGTTTTTGGGCATCTCCCAAAAGGCCTCATATTAATGGGTTATAACCATGTATGTTTTGGTCACCTTTCTCCTCTTCCTCTAGTGAGAAGCTTGCATCCCCTCAAACTAACGATCATGTTTGTGACCTTCCCTTCAGCGATTATCCATTTGTTCTCCCCGCCATCTTGCACCGTTGTGCTAACCTCACGGGCACGCCGCCCGGTCTTTTCATGTCGGGAAGATATTTGACACAAGACATGCTGTAGACCACCAATCCGCTAGGTCACACCATTTCGATATGCTAAATCATCTTGTACCGTTGTTAACACCCAACAGAACACGCCACTTGACCTCTGGTTGTCAGGAAGACTTTTGACATAACGAACCACCTGCAGATCACCAGCCATGTTATCACGCCAGGCACACCAAGAATTCTACACAACACAGTCTGTCACTTCTACCTGCACGAACCTGGGCTCCGATACCACATGTTGGGCACGCACGTGCCCTCACTCCAAACCCCGCATTAGGATGACATTGTCTGCTTTGGATCAATTCCTCATGGATTTATTTTTTGACACTTTCCAAAATTTCTCATACTAATGTGGTTGGTGGCCTATATATATATATATATATATATATATATATATATATATATATATATATATATATATATATATATATATATATATATATATGGGATTGACTCCAGTGAGATGACACCTTATGGTAAGATGACATGCTTCAATGAGATGACACAACACACAACACTGCTAATGGAAAGCTCACCAACTGCCAATGCAAAGCTCACCAACTACCAATGCAAAGCTCACCACTCAACCACCGCTCACCAACTGCCAATGCAAAGCTCACCAACTACCAATGCAAAGCTCACCAACTGTCAATGCAAAGCTCACTACTTTTTTTAAACAAAAAAAAGTTAAAAAAATAGCACCACCACTCAACCACCGCTCAACCACCGGTCCACGGCAACAGTGGGGGTCATCGGTGGTGGCCATTGGTCATGGGCGGTCAAAGTGTAAAGCTCACCAATTATCAATGCAAAGCTCACCAACTGTCAATGGAAAGCTCACCAAGGAACAATGCAAAGCTCACCACTTTTTTTTAAAAAAAAAGCTAATAAAATTGCACCACCAGTCAACCACCGGTCCACGGCGGTAGTCTGCAGCGGTTGGAAGTCAGCACCACCGCCCTTTGTTTTTTTTGAAATCATTTTAAACTTTAAAGTGTGGTGAGCTTTGTGCACATATTCGGTGAGCTTTGCAATGATAATCAGTGAGCTTTGTTGTTGGGCTTTGTAAGCATTTAACCATCAAATTTTGAAAAAAAAAAGTAAAGTGTTGGAAAATCATGGTGAGCTTTGCAGTGGACAGTGGTGAGCTTTGCAGTGATCAATGGTGAGCTTTGTAGTGATCAGTGGTGAGCTCTAGCGTCATCTGACTGAAACATGTCATCTTATGTGTCATTTCACCGGAGTCAATCCCTATATATATACATACATACACACACACACACACATATATACATACATACATACATACATACATACATACATACATACATACATACATACATACATACATACATACATACATATATATATATATATATATATATGTGTGTGTGTGTGTGTGTGTGTGTGTCACCTTTCTACATCCTCTTCCTCGGGTGTGGGAAGAGTTTACCGCCCAATAATACAATACCACGTCGTTCGAAAACAGGGCGGTATCATGTCATACTAATACGAAATCATACCATAATACCTAAATCTATGTATGCTTTAAAATCATTTTATTGGTATATAAAATATAATCGACATAATTTAAAAATTGTGCACATTCGTATATAAAAAATAATCGACATAATTTAAAAAATTATGCACCAATATTTTCATGCATTTTTACCCAACAAGTGTATTGTTTAGTTACAACTTTTGACAAAACATAATTTTCATTTGGTTTTTTCAACAAATAATACTTTGTCCCATAAAATTTTTCAAAGACAAAAAAAGGTGCGCCTTAAAAATGTATAAGTTTGTTATTATTTTTTTTATTTTTCTATTATTTTATAATTAGGTAGGATATGATGTATATGATAGATTAGTCATAATTAGAAAAATAATATCAAACATACTTTTAGGGCACTCCCTTTTCCGTCTTTGAAAAGTTTTATGAGACAAAGGAAGTATTATAATTTGAGTTGTATTTCGTGATGTTAAGGTAATATAAAACATTTGTGTAAGTATGTCATAGACACACCAAATAAATATGACTTAAACTTAAAAATAACAAGCGAATATGCTATGTAAAATTAATCTATTATTTTAATATTTTAGTGTAACGGTTCTATTCAAAATTTTTGTTTTCGTTTTTAGAACCCCGTCCTTTACCATTTTGAAAACATTTCATTGGGGCTCGCGATATAATTATTAGAACTATTTCAGAACTTTCTTTTTTATTCACTACAATGTTGGTCCAATTCGCAACAATATCAAACAACCCTTATTTTTGCCCAATCCAACAACTCTCTTTATGTCAAAATACATTACCTACTAGTTACTAGTCAATAGTCACATGATTAAGCATATCTTGTTAAATAGAATTCGTTCGTATGACATGAATCTCATTATAAGGTACAAGAAAATTTATTTCAGTTTTTCTTTGTTTATCTAATTTTTTAGGTGGATTTCAATTAAGAATTGAATATAAATTGTGAACCTTAATAAATAAGCTAATCACCCATGTAAAATGTACACAATCTCATTTAGATTTTTCCAACGTCATTCACATAAATACTACTTCCGTCTGTCATAGATCTTTCTAGATACTATTCCAAAATTCAAACTTAACTCACTTTGTTTGTTTAGTTTTACTACTCATCTCATAAAATAATATAGTCGTGTCACTTATAGTTTTGTAAAACTTTTCATTTAATTTATATATATATATATATATATATATATAATTTTTAAATTTTACCTCTATAATCAAATAAATTGAATATGACATGTTTGGAACAAGATTTCGATTTGGCTCAAATTCTATGTTTGAGAAACTTAAAAATTTTAGATTTGGATTTGAGTCAAATTCATCTCATTCATAACAAAGTTTAATTTGAAATTCATGTATCTCCCTTGTCATTTGAAATTCAAGATTTCAAATTTTGGAAATTAAATATATGAATTGAAAAAGAATGTTGGTTCTCAAACACTACATGAAAGTAAAGTCGATCAAGTCTCGTAACGCGTAATGTGAAAATCTCAGATACATGGAGAGAATATTAGGTAGTGTTTGAGAACTAACATTACATTTCAATTCCAAAAGTTAAATCCTTGCATTTCAAATGACGAGGAGAGTTATATGAATTTCAAATTGAGCGTTGTTATGAACTAGAGAAATTTGAATCAAATCCAAATCTAAATTTCGTTAGTTTCCTAAACAAGGAATTTGAGCCAAATCTAAATTTGAAATCATAATCCAAATTCACCCCTTGCCCCCACCCCAGTCCACCCTAAGGTCTCCTCCAAATACGTAGCTATTATGTATTGCATAATAACCACACATTTAAAAGGAGGCTTGGGGTGGATTAGGGCCTAAAGTGGGAGACATGAGTGAGGATTTGAGAGATGTGTTGGGGTAGAAACTATCAATTTTGTTAACGAAACAACGGAATTGTTCCAAAAATACAATAACACCTTGACTCTAGTGTCAATGGAACCGTGTCCTTTTTTTGATGGATTCTAAGATTTTGATAATAGTAGGAGCGGTCCGGTTCTAGTGACACCGGAGAACGGTGCCACTGCGTTTTTGGGCACCTCCGGTGCTCCATTCGTAAAATTGACGGTTCCTACCCCCACCCCTGCACCCCCACCCCAACCCCGCCGTAGGGGTGGACACGGTACCGGTACAGTACCGGTACCGGAAACGGTACCGCCGGTTCCGGTACCGTTACCGTCGGCCGGTACGGTCCACCGGTTCCAGGAACCGGTACCGGTACCGCCCAATCCGGTACCGGTTCCGGTGCCCATTTTTCGGTACCGGCACCGGCGGTTCCGGTTCCGGTACTGTTACCGTTTTTTTTATTTTTATTTTTTTATTTCATTCTTTCCTTTATCAATTTCATTTTTAGATTTTTTTATTTCATCATTTCCTTTAACAATTACACATTTACAATTTTACATTTTAAAAATATAATAAAAAAGCAAAAAAAAAACAAAATTAGGGGTGGCCGAAACGGTACCGGAACCGGCGGTACCGGAACCGGTACCGGCCGGTCCGGTACCGGTACCGGTACCAAGGGGTGGCGGTACCGGAACCGGCGGTTCCGGAACCGGAACCGTCCCGGAACCGTACCGTGTCCACCCCTACCCCGCCGTAAGACCCCCACAAAATGTGTGTGGCTATTATTGGGACCTTACGGCGGTGCAAGGATGGGGGCAGGGTGAGGGTTTAGGGGGTAGGAACCATTAATTTTACGAACGCAACACCGTAGGTGCCCCAAAAACGCAGTGGCACCGGAGTGGCAACGTTCTCCGATGTCACTGGGCCGTAGTAGGAGCGAATAATAGAGTAATAGGGGGGAAATAATTTTTGTACGGTGAACGTATTAAAAGATTCACACTAAATTCCAAAACGTACTATACAGGCACGTTAGACTGCGGGGGCGAAATTAAAGTAGCGTAAAAAAATAGACTCCTTTTTCCTTTCCCAAACACATTCCATTCATTATTCATCCTTTCCTTCTCCTTTCTTCTTCTTCTTGTTCTTCACTCCCAAAACCAGAAAAAAAACGTCCTGAAAATAAAGCACAAATCTCTGTCTCAAGGCTTTGGGATTCTATAGGTAAGTGTAAACAATCGATTCCCTTGTTGAAATTCTACATTATTTTGTTCTGGTTCTGTCTGGTGTGATTTTGAAGCTTTTTCTTTTCTTTGTTCCGTGTTTGGGTTCTGTGAAATTGGTGTCAGATGTTTTTTTTTCAAATGTTCGAACATTTTGTCAATTCTCTGTCTTGTGAATTGCATCTGGATGGGAAGATGTTGAGAGCATAAGAACATTTCATTTTCAAGAATCGGGAACCAAACAGGGCACCCAATTATCCAAACGTGATTTTCGGTGCAGTTTGAACCACCCGTTCCGGGGAAATGGATTGGTCCCGAAACGACGTCGTGCTGTATTAGGGGAAAACGGGCGTTTCAGAAATCCCACGTGCTTTAATCTCCTTCTTCCCTTTGGGATTAAATAATACTCCGCGCTATTCGCCAGACAAAGATTTTATTCCGTATTTGCTTGCCATATCCAATTCAATCTCTAATTTACCATTATTATTAATTAATTACGGAGTAATTAATTAGGTAATTTTTTAAATAATAATTCTATTAGAATTGGAAGCAGTAACATCTGTTTATGCCTACTTTCTCAATTTATTTATAATTCAGAGTTATCACCTCCATTGACGATTGTAGCCCTGACCGTCATTAAACAGCAGGGTCTTTGGCAATTGATTAGGTAATTAATTATCTTATTTTAATTTTATTTATTTATTTATTACTCCGTATTATTATTATTATTACTACGAATCCCCTCCGTCCAAAAATAAAAGGCCAAATCAATATTTACACGGTAAAATTTTATTCACCTTCTTGAGTTATTTTTGTTATTCTTTTTATAAAGTAATATAATGATGTTGTCTCTTGCTTTATAAATCTTCTTTGGGGTAGTACGATGCTCTGTTCTTAAAATTGACGGTTCCTATCCATCCTAATTCCCGGTAAACCCCCCTCCCACCCTGCCCCGCCCTGAACCCACCGCCCCACCGCCTTCAATTGTATCCCCAAGTTTAATTGATTTTGGAGTCAAAATTTTGACTACGAAGTCAATTAAACTTGGGGATGCAATTGAAGGGGTGGAGCCGTGGGTTCAGGGCTGGCGGGGTGGGGGGTTTAATGGGGTTAAGGGGAGTACGTACCGTCAATTTTACGAACGGAGCATTGTACCACTCCTAGGTCACATTGTTTAGCAATGTCAAGGGAACCGAGGTGATCTTTTCAATATAACTTTCAAATATATATTCCCTCCATCCCAAAAAAAGACTTCTTATTTTTTTTCGGGATCTTTCTAAATAGCTCTCTCTTTCCTTTTATGAAAAAAACTCATAATCTTTCTATTTCTTCTGCATTACCTTCAACTATATATTTGTACTTTTTTTTTAATTTTGTGTCAAGTCAAACTAAGATCTTTTTTTGGGACGGGAGGAGTTTATATATTTTTTATTTTTACACTAATTTTGAAATAAATTAAATTGTAAAAAACTTTCCGTACTTCCTTTTCTTTCTTTACATACCAAAATTTTGTTTCACTTTCCTTGGTACGCAGTAAGTAAGAACTATTTAACTCGCCTTATTCCTCCCTCTTTTAAACAAATTTAAATAGGAACATATTTAGAGTATTTAAATAAAAATATTTTTCAAATGTATAGACTAACTTTGAAAATATTAAAACTTAATAAAGGGTCTGTTTGGAAATAGCGCTAGAGATTAGCGTTAGCATTCTGAAAAGGCTATCTACGGACAACGTTTAGCGTTAGCGTTTTCAAAATAATCTGCATCGTTAAAACTTTATCTAAAACACTAACGCTAATCTCTAACGTCATTCTCAAACAGGCCCAATATCATTAGATAGGCTTATCAACCTCTTTATATGGACATACCTAAAAAAAGATCTTCTTACGGATAACGTTAGTAACCTATTTATACTAGGACTAGGATATATTCCTTTTCTTCTCATTATCATGAATTCCCCATATATATTGGTTTCCATGTATTTGTACTCCGTATCAATTAATAACGCCGACTATTATTCTCATTATTTTAACCAAGGGCCTTTTTTTTCCAAAGATCTCATCTAAGGACCTTCATTAAGGTTAATTTATTAAATTGCTTTTTTAATTTTTTTTAATTAAATTATTATATTTATGAGGTGGATGGGTGGTCATAAACAAGATCTACAACTTGATGATTAAACAGGACTAACGACTTGATGACCAGCATATGATGTGGGATATGAATGGCCTAAGATCTTAGTTCATAGTTTTTGTTGGTTTGGTTTCTATGCCCGAGTTGTGTTATTGTGGTTCTAAGGTTTACATGTGAAACGTGGACTTTCTCACATATTTTTTATGGGCTCATAATTGAATATCTTTTTTTCTATAACGTCACTACAGATAATCATTTTATGCATTAAGATCCATATAATGAGCATGATCCCGAGAACCACGAAAGATTTGCCTTTATGCCCTAGCGTGTAGCGTCGAATTGTCTTAGTTTGGATCTAGTTGTTTTATGTCGGCATGTGTGCTTCTTCTTTGTTTACTTGTACTTTGTTAGTACCGTTGTGGTTTGTTTGTTTGTACTTTTGTATTTGAACTGGGGGTCTATTGGAGACGGTTTCTCTATTTTCAAGTAGGGATAGATGTCTAATTACACTCACCCTCTCGAGACCCTACCTAGAGGGGGATTCTATTTGGCCCAAACACTTGGATCAAATAAAATAGTCTTTTAGATGAAAACTAGGAATGGTATGATGCTTTAAGTTTCATATTTAAGGGCCACAATGAAGCAAAAATCTCATAAAAACGAGAACAACAACTGAGTTGAATCCCACCAGGGTAGGGTCTGTGGAGAGTGTGTGTACAGACCTTACCCTCACTCGAAAATGTCAAAAATTTAAAATAAAAATTGCATTGATGTTCTTGTAAATACATAAAACGTTTCGGCCTCGGTAAAAAGTGCCTTGGAATGGAACAAGAATTTAGAGTATACAACAACCACAATAACAACAACAAACCCAGTAGAATCCCACCAAAAAATAGGGTTGTGAAGGGTGTGTGTCCGCAGAATCTCACAAGAATGTAGCGTATATGCTTAAATATGTTTATGTATGAAGGTACATTGTCATAACCTTAGTGATGTTTTGAAATTTTGTTTTCAGGTGATGGGTATGGCTGAACAATCTGAACTAGTGGACCTTTCTTGGAACAGAGGAGATGTGTATGAAGAAGAAGATGGTGAGAATGTGATGGAACTGCTCAATATTCTCGGTGATGATTTCTATCCGGGAGGAGACAACTTTGTTGTTGATGATTTTGATGCTACGAAGTTGGGACCCATCCCTTTCGACGATGCATTCGTTCCCTTTCCCCTTAACGGCACCATCCAAAACGATTCGTCGAATCCGCCATTCTTCCTCAAGTCTTCTTTCTCTGTAAGTCTCTATTGTGTTCTTAATTAGTACTGCCCATAAAAATGGCCTTTTGGGGTTAGGTTTTTCAAGTCCCTTTTCACAGTCCTCGCAGTATTGGTCAATGTTTTTAAGGGCTGTGCATTGATTTTAGGGTATATGGACCTACAACCACAAGTTTGGGTTTGGCATGGTATCATAGCCTTGTTAACTTAGAGATCACAAGTTCTAACCACCACCTAGTTTTAAAAAATTTGATGTCTGCGTGCAAGGCTCGAAGCGACAACAAAACTATTGTATTGTCACGTGCACAATGTACCGTGAGTTTGAGCTTGTAGTTGACTTTGTTTAGTGAAAGTTCAATTGTTTTTGGGAGAAATAAGAGTAAATCGTGCTTCATATACCAAAATAGGACTTTCGATATTTTTACACAAATATAATTTACAATGCCAAATAATGCCAACACATAATGACAAAAAACACTGGAAGCCAAACCTCATATTTAGGGGATAAAAATACTGGAAGCTTTTTTTAACGCTAAGAACTCTATTATAATGTAGTATATGTTCATACATTCTCAACCCATTAAGCACGTGGAATGATTACCCCACCGGGGATCGAACTTGTGACATCCCATCACTATCATGCCGCTAGACCACAAGGTTTTTGGCAAAACATAGGAAGCCTTATTTTGGTATAAGTTCCATGTTTTAGTACTATTTAGACACCAACACTAACAGATTTCTTATTGTTTTTCTTTATCCCCATTGTTGATTACTAATTTCAAGTGTTTTGGTTACTTTCAGCAAAAGCAGCAACTGAATGAAGGTCCACTTCTTGGTCACAAGAATAAAAACTGTGAGGTTGTAATGTACCAGACACAGAGTCCAGTCTCTGTCCTTGACACTACTACTACTACTATTACTAGTGCCTCATCATCCTCCAGCTCAAGCGGAAAACCGGGCGAGCCCACAAATCCAGAACAAACCGTACCCGTGCGGCGACCCCGGTCCAAACACACCCGATCTTCGACTGTCAATCCATGGCTGCTCATCCCCCCTCCTATAATCACAACTCCACACGTCGCCAAAAAGAAAATGAAGAGGATGCCGTCCCGGAAGCCCGGTGGGCCCGTCGGGCCCGGTGGCCTGTTTAAGAAGTGCTCACATTGTGAGGCGACGGCGACACCGCAGTGGAGGGCGGGACCATTGGGCCCCAAGACACTGTGCAATGCGTGTGGGGTCCGGTACCGTTCCGGTCGTCTCTTCCCGGAGTATCGACCCGCGGCTAGCCCGACGTTTGTCCCTTTGGTCCACTCCAACTCCCACAGAAAGGTGATAGAAATGAGAAGCAAGGTTCATGAACCGGAGCCGGTTCGTGATTTTCCGGTGTCGCCGTCGCCGGAATTTGTCCCCATGAGTGGTTACCCGTTTGATTGCATATACTGAGGGGGAGAAATTTTCATTTTTTTTGGATTTACAAAGTAATGCTTTGTTCATTTTGAACAATTTTATTTGTTATTGTTCTTGAGCAAGAAAAGAGGATATGATATGGTCCTCTGTTGTATTAGATTAATTAGATGAGTGTTTAGGCCTTTGATTGCATTTATTTTTTCAGTAATGATCATTGAATTATTTTAATGCATATTTTCTACCACTCCCTTTTATTCATTTATTTATTCAAATAATGTGAATAAAAAATGGGACTCACAATTGAAGCTGTTGAGTGTCACTTTTTTGCAATTTTTTTTGAAGGTTATGCAACTCAAATTAATCTCACTCGAAATGAAACTTGTGACTTGCCATTGAAAATGATGTAGGCCTTGTTTGGGAAGAGCGTTTTCAATTAGCGTTAGCATTTTAGATAAAATTCTAACAGAATAGATGAACGCTAACCTCCAATGCTGATCCCAAACAGGACCGTAAATTAAGATTGTAAACGGATCAAATCGAATATTAATCCTTATCATATGTCTTCAATTTGTGCACGGGAATTTGGATTAGTATTTGATTTACATCTCTTTTTGTATTCGTATTCGATTCGTTTAAGAAATGAGATATATTACATTTGATTAAAAGTCTTCAAATTCAAAAAAAAATTGTTCTGAAACTATCTTTAGAAAAATTGCTATTAAAACTAAAAAAAATCTTAGACAAGTGGCACTTCAAAACAAATTGAATTTAAAAAAAAATGAACAGAATGCAAATCTTATTAAACCAACCCGAAACAACGATGAACAAAACATATACCAACAACCAACTAGAAGACCAAAACACTTGTCCACAAAGCTAGATAAACCAATAATTAAAACATATTCCAATCAGATCAGAACAATTCATGTCGTATCACGTGAACAGAACATGGTCCCTAAACATTGGAATGTTATGGAATCGAATCCAATAGTTAGGCCTTGCCCAAAGGTGAGTTGAACCAGACAATGCCCGTGAAGAATAATGCTGACGCCCTTTCTTTTTCCGACGCCCTTTTGGACCTTTTTTGTTTTTTCCTAAGAAGCGATGGAAACTCACCCTACACGCAAAGCATGCCAAATATAGTAGCAGAAAGAGAGTCATTGTCTAAAACACAGTCAATGAGTGTCGGTGTGTATCTGTGAGAATGTCTAAAACACAGTCAATGAGTGTCTGTGTGTATCTGTGAGAAAGTAGTGTACAATGCTTTGGGTACACCTAGGTTTTTCCAATTATTGGTATATCCATTCTCCATTATACTCCATATCTTTTTTTAACGTTAAACAGATAATTTTACCTCTAAAAGTTAATACTTGTACCTTAATTCATTCTTTTAAGGAGCATATTTTTAGAAGTGAAATTGTTAATTTATCATAAATGAAATAGATTTAACGAAAATGAGTGCGAATAACAATACCCCAAGAACAATGACAGTTTACGACATATTCCCCCAAAAAAACAACCAGTGGTTTTTCTGAGGATAAAACGTTAAATTTTTCATAGAATTCAAGAAAAAATAAAATTTCGTGTTGAGATATATAGCACCCATGGATGAGAAAAAAAATACAATTAACCTAGAGATACACCAATATGGGGTACCCTATTTGTAAACCAAGCTAACACAAACACACAGACACGTAATGTCTGTGCCGCACAGACATTATGTGTTTGTGTGTGTCTGTGTTAGCTTGGTGTACGAATGGGGTATTCTATGTTGATGTACCCCTAGCATTACCCAAAAAAATAATATGAACAACTCACTACTTTCTTTAATATTTCCCTTAAACAGACAAATCAAACCATCATCAACATGTCGCACAGGCAAGATTAGTCACAGGTTGACATTTCAAGGATCCGGAGTTAACTTCAACAAAGCAGATGCACCAGCTATGGTGCTACACATTGCATTTGCTGGAGTTCTAAGACAACGGGGGCGATTAAACGGGTTCTACGCAACAATATATACTTAAGATTAGGCAGAGACAAGTCGGAAAGGAAAGCATAGGACCAACAAGTAAGATTAGTCAATATGCAGATCTATAAGACCCGAATCATCACGAGTCACAAAGGAATCCTCCCTTCGTAGTTGTAATAAGGACCCCTCCGAATTCCGATAACTTCATTACCAGAATTCATGGGGTACGGAAACAAAACCTTCAACTCCCGTAAAGATCATCATCGTTCTTGGTAATGTGTTCAAAAGCTTCCAAGTTCACCAATGAAGCCTAATCATTTCCGAACATGAAACTCTACCCAAAAGTCCAAGTAATTCAAGTTGTGATAAGTCTTAACTACCGCCTAAGTGCTCTAACCACGATAGAATATGGATAGACGATACAGTTCCAATTCTTAACCAACAACAAGAACCATGGGTTCTAAATCAGAACCGGAACCAGAACGTATAAAGTTCCCATTCCATTTCCATCAATTTCGGGCATGTTCCGCAACAACTTTGTCGTTTAGTTTGAGTGTTTTGAAATATAAGTATCTAATGACAATGTTTAGCTTTAGCGTTTTGAGAGTCAGTCTGCACCATTAAAAAATTGTCCAAAATGCTAACTGAAAACGTTGTTTCCAAACGACGCTTTAAACAAAGAATCATCGAAGTTATATTCAATCCTACTGCAAAATGAGATCATAATCGAAGCCGAAATTCTCAATCACACCGTGTTTACCAAGAGACGATAGAATTCATTCATGACTGAATCACATAGTAAAGTACATAATTTGATCGGAATCAGATGGTGGAGTATATAGGTTTAACAGAAATCCAGAAAATCATGACAAACTCCATTTTTTTATTGTTGAAGAAAAGGATTATCAGAGAATTATACAACCTGCCTAACAAGGAGGCTATAGTATGAACACATCCATCGACATTAATTACTAGGTAGGGTTCAACAATTACGTACTGAAAGAGAGAGAGAGAGATCTGGAGAGGGATTAGTTGTAGTAGAGCTCGAGGCCGTCGCCGTCGTGGATTTCGTAGTCCTTGAGGGTGATGTGATCCTTGTAGATGTTGTACCACTTCTGGATTCGGATCTTTTCGGCCCTGGTTCCGGTCTGCGCCGCCACGAGCTTCTTCAGGTCTCCGATCGTGTCGTCTTCGTTGCATTTCACCTTCACCTTCTTCCCTAGTCGATCGTTCAGAACCACCTCAATCATTTTTTATTTTTTATGAGATTTCTCCCCCCCTCCTTCGAATCACTGATCTCGCTCGCCGTCGTCTCCGATTCCCCACCCACTGACACAAACGGAAGAGACAACGCGAGGCTCCTCCTGTATGAATGTATAAATCCCCCCATCATCTCCAAATTGGTTGACTTTTGTTTTTGAGTAGTCTTTCTCTTGTATTTAATCTTTGGATTTCATTTCATTCTTAATTAAAATTTGTAAATTTTAAACTTGATTTGTGGTAATAATCAATTCTACTTCGATATAAATTTAATATTATTAGCTTTACTAGACATAGTCTTGAAATGTTAACTTTCCATTAATTATATTTATATATTATAAATAGAGTTATTAAGGGTCAAAGTATTACATTAGAGACTATGAAAAATCAAATAGAGTAGGCAAATACTGAATCAGCCCTGAAACTTCTTTAAAAAATCGAGAATGCCGATTTAAAAAATACCGGATCCGAAAAAATACTGCAAAGGAATCGAGTCGTAAAAACCCAAATGATTTGGTACGGTATTTAAGAACGATACGAGGTAACTTCTCATTCAGAAAATTTCAAACCGAAAATATATAATAATATATTATAAAAATAATAATCTTTTTATATTTGTTCAATAAATAATAAATTTATTGTGCGGGGTCATAGTGTGTTATCAAATATAGAACAGAAGTAGAGTAGAGCAAAAATACTCTTGCTGAAAAGATAGGGCATAATACAGTATACATTAAACTTGAATAAAAGAAGATAGGATTGAAGTGGTTCCTGAAACCGGCCAGTTCTTGGACTGATAGTCTTGTTTTGTCCTTGATTTTTTGTGAAAGATTAGACAGCTCCCGGGCAGGGTGGTCTTTTCTGAAAGATTATGTCGTGACCGAATTAGTACTAGTTTTTAGTGCATTTGAAATATACATATAAACCTGAACACGATTCCGATTTGGAACTTATTCTAACGATTCTGGAACCAGAACCTTACCTGGAGCGGTGGGCGGTACTTGGGAACCGGTGCCAGTGGTGGGTTGGGAAAAGGGTGCCAGAACTGGCTGGGACTAGTATTGGGAAATATTTGCACTAAATAGCACTAAAACTTAACTCATTTCTCTAAATAACACTTAAATGGTTTTATTCCCTAAATAGCACTTAATAATGTCTATAATGACTAGTGATGTCAATCATTTACTTGAATAATGACTAATTGATATGACTAAAAGTGCTACTTTGAGAAAAAAACTCATGTAGTGCTATTTTGGGAAAGTCATTGCAAAAGGAAAGAGAATATTTGGAATATATTTTCGTATATATTAGTTTTGGTAATTTCCTTGTATTAGTAGTTTACTTGTATAGAGATTTCCTTTCCTTGTTTAGTTAGGATTCTCGACTTGTGAGAACCTATAAATGCATGCCTTGGTTGTAAATTGCAAACACAAGAAATACGAGAGTTTTCTCCGAATCAATTCTTTCATGGTATCAGAGCCTAAATCTTAAATTTTCCGCGGCCACTGCTCTTCATCGACCGGCATCGCGTCCATCGGTCAAACGCCCGCCGCTGCTTCCAGACGCCGGAACGATCGACCGTTAGTGAAGAGCGGTCGAGGTCATCGACCGTCCCGACGACAGCTTCTTTCTAATTGCCGCTGTGATTTTGCTCCGTTGTTGATCTGCCATCCGGTATGTTCGAGGAAGTAAGCATGAAGATTATTTCCAACAAAAAGAACGAGGAACGAGAGGAAGAGGAAGTTGGGGTGCGTAGTCGACGCATCTCCCCGTACGATTTGTCCCCGAGCGACAATCCAGGTATGATTCTGACCCATGTTGTTCTGAAGGGGGATAATTATGATGAATGATCTAAATCTCTGCGTTTGGCTCTCGAGCGCGCAAGAAGTTTGGATTTGTTGATGGAACAATCGGGATGCCTGATCCCGATTCGGATGATTTTGATGATTGGTGGACAAACCATTCTTTGTTGGTCTCTTGGATTCGGAACACGATTGATCCAGTCTTGAGGTCCAGTATATCTTTTCTGGAAAAGGCTTCAGATCTATGGAGTGATCTGGAGGCCCGCTTCCCTATCATTAATGGACCCCGGGGTTCAGCAGTTGAAGCGGGATTTAGCAGAATGCAAACAGAAGAATCTTTCCGTAATGGAATATTATGGGAAGATGAAAAAGCTATGGGATGATCTTGCAGATTTAGAACGGTTCCCAGTTTGCACGTGTAGGAATTGCACGTGCGACTTGCAGGAGAAGCTAGTACAGATGCGTGAGAGAGAACATTATCATCAATTTTTATGGGCTTGAATGATGCTTTATATGGAACTTTGCGGTCGAACCTGCTTGCTCAAGAAACCATATCGCCTCTGGCAAGAATATACAATATTCTTGTCAAAGATGAAACATCACGGAATAGGATGCATAAAGGAGAAAGCAAAGAGGCAGGTGCGTCCGTATTTGCCGTAAAGAACAAGATGGAGGCCAAAGAGCTTGTGTGCTCTCACTGTGGCAAAGGAGGACATGAGGTTGAGGCATGCTACAGACTCATAGAATACCCAGAGGGGTGGATCTTCCGAGATCAGGCCGAAAGAGGAAGAGGAAACATCCGAGGAAGGGGTCGTGGAGCTGGACGAGGCGGCGGACGGTCGACCGTAGGGTTTGGACGGTCGACCGTCACGGGCGTTCGTAGCGAGGTGCACGCGGTCCAAGGAGAAGGACCGTCTCCGCTGCCAAATTTTGAGGATTTAACGTCTGAACAGTGGAATGCTGTTCGTCATGCCCTCTCACTTTCTTCCATAGATAATACTCAAAAACTTTCAGGTATTCCTGTATCACCTCGTTGGATAATTGATACGGGTGCGTCCAACCATATGACAGGTGATCTATCTTTGTTATATGATGTGGTGGGAGTGTCCCCATGTGAAATTGGTTTGCCTGATGGAAAACGTGGTGTATCTGTTCAATCTGGAAAGATTGACTTAACAGTGACTATGACTTTGCAGAATGTGTTGTTCGTTCCAAGTTTGAACTGTCATTTGCTTTCTGTGTCACAGCTGACAAAGGATATGAATTGTGAGGCGAAGTTCACCAATATTTGTGTATCTTACAGGACCTAAGGTTGAGGAAAACAATTGGTGTGGGTAGACAAGAAGGAGGACTATATTATTTAAAGAAGGAGGAAAGGAGAATGGCGTGCAGTGCTACGAAGGAGAATTCTTTTGATCTTTGGAACAAACTTCTAGGACACCCTTCTTCACATGTTTTATCCTTAGTTCCTGTAGTTGGATCGAATAAGAGTAGTCATAGTCATTGTGATGTCTGTTTACGTGCCAAACAAACTCGTACCAGTTTTCCCATTAGTTTTAATCAATCTATGGATAAATTTGATATGATACATTGTGATGTATGGGGTCCCTATCAGACGCCAAGTTTGGATGGATCTACGATGTTTTTGACTATTGTGGATGATTTTTCTCATGGTGTATGGGTGTACTTGCTTGATTCTAAGCGTACTGTAGGAAGTGTCTTCAAACAATTTTATGTCATGATTGAGCGCCAGTTTGAGAAGAAAATAAAATGTGTTCGTAGTGATAATGGTACAGAATTTGAGTGCTTAAATGAATACTTCCAAGAAAAGGGTATAGTTCACGAGACATCTTGTGTATCTACACCACAACAGAATGGTAGAGTGGAACGTAAACATCGGCATATTCTGAACGTGGGTCGTGCTCTGAGGTTTCAAGCCGGTCTTCCGATTGAATTCTGGGGAGATTGTATACAGACTGCAGCCTATTTGATCAATCGGATACCCACGTCATTGCTAGGGGGTGACGCCGTATGAGAGGCTTTATGGGAGGTCACTGCCGCTGACTCACATTCGTGTTTTTGGTTGCAGATGTTATGTCCACAATCTGAAGAGGGATGGAGACAAATTTGCACCCAGAAGTATTCCTGGAATATTTTTGGGTTATCCACAAAGGAAGAAGGGATGGCGCGTCTATTTTCTGGCCACCGTAAACATGAGCATGTCCCGTCATGTTGTGTTCTGTGAAGACATTTTTCCTTTCTTGTTTTCCACAGGTGAAACACCCAAAGAAGTTGCATTGAGAAGCAACCCAACCACCGATTATTTTGAAGATGTTGAGAATCTATCCACGGAGAACCATATGGACCGTTCCTGGAGGAACGATCGACAGCTGGGAAATATGGAGGTAGAAGGGCTTCAGACGGTCGACCCCGTGGACCGTGCCGAAGACCACGGTCGACCATCGGCAGGACAGAATGACGGGTCTTCTAGAGATGAATCAACGGTCGACCGCGGCATGGAGGACGATCGACCGTCCCCAAGGCAGAAACCTGTTGAACCAACGCAGCTACAGACAGTCGACCCCGTGGACCGTTCCACGGATGGCGGTTGACTGTCCCCGAGGTAGAAAACTACTGAACCAGCGACGCTACAAACGGTCGACCCTGTGGACCGTTCCACGGATGGCGGTCGACTGTCCTCTTCCCAGCAAGCAGTGGAGACTTTGGGGCATAGTTAGCGGGAAAGGCTCCCAAATGTGACACTTGCGGACTATGTTACACATATTACTGGACCACATAGCGGAGAAAGATGCAGGTATCCACTCTCCTTATATGTCACGTATGAGAAGTTTTTTGATAAACACAAGTGTTTTCACACGGCACTTGATGAGGAAGTGGAGCCCACGAACTTCAAAAAGGCATTTCAGGATGAGCGATGGCGAAAAGCTATGCGGGAGGAGATTGATGCACTGGAAGCTAATGGAACGTGGTCAGTGGTTGCTCCTCCACATCATAAAAAGCCCTTAGCTGCAAATGGGTGTATAAAATCAAGTGCAAGTCCGATGGCAGTGTGGAGATATATAAGGCCAGATTGGTTATATTGTGCAATCATGAGGTTGAGGGACTTGACTACAAGAAAACATTTGCTCCTGTGGTCAAGTTAACTATAGTACGAACTCTTCTAGCTGTTGCAGCTGCGAAGGGTTGGGAGTTGCATCAGATGGATGTGCACAATGCTTTCCTTTAAGGAGATCTTGAGGATGAAGTGTACATGCGACTGCCACCAGGTTTTTCCAATGCTTCTAATATAGTATGCAAATTGAAGAAATCTTTGTATGGTTTGAAACAAGCTCCAAGGTGTTGGTTTGCCAAGTTGTCTGGAGCTTTGAGGCGCTATGGGTTTGTCTAGTCTGTTCCTGATTACTCATTATTCTCTTTCGTTGGAAAGAAAGGAGTCATACATGTTTTGGTTTATGTTGATGATTTAATTATTGCTGGAGATAA